ATGGAGAAAGTCAGATGATTGCAGATGGGGAAGGAAAAAAAAAAGCAAAATAGCTTAGACGGCTTGGCTAACGCGGCTCAACAGCTCAGCCAGATGGCCAAACGGCTTATGAATAGTTGCCACAAAACTCACTCTTTTTATAGTGTAGGATAGGATAGAGAGAGACTAAGGCGTATGAAAGAAGCATCCCAATTCAAAAAAGTCATGGTCTATGATAAAATATCTCACAAGATTAAATCCTAGCCATTCAACTCATCCAAGGGCCACTAATGACACAAGCCCAATAATATGAGAACCCCATAAGCCCACAGAAGGATTTGTCCATTTTGAGCGAGTCTTTTATGCTCTTGTTCCCACATATATCACTTAAGTTTTACAAATGAAGAGAAATGTTGCAGAGAATATTTCTTGGTTCAACAGATGAACATCTTATATTTATTTTAAGTTACTTATTTTCTTAAATATAATATTATTTTTTACATTTTAAAAATGTAACTTTTAACACAAAATAAACTTTGCTAGGTAAACTGAAATTTTAGTGAAATTCGATTAGGACAGTAAACTTTAAATTCCTTAACTGGCAGGCTTATTGCAATAAACCTTTAAGGTAACGGCTATGTGGCTCATCAACTTATCACTACGGCATATCAAGTGTGAAAAACAAACATGTCTTTGAAACATTTAAATATCAAGACATTGACATAATTCCCATTTTACCAATTTCGTTTATAGGATGTTAACAAACGAATCAAAATCATGGATTTAAATGCCCACCCAGGCCGGCCTCTTTCTTTCCAAAATTCAGTTCATCTCATCTCATGTGTAGGCCAACTTAACTTGCTTCCGGGAAATTGTGTAGGTCCATCTGGAAACAATGCAACTACACACGAGGTGGCGCCATGAGCCAAGAAAATACATGAGGCATAAAATAGAGATATAGAAACTTGTTCACCAGGTCAGCCACCCTTGATAACTAAGTTTGAACTCAAACCAGTTCCATTCTCCACTGGCTACATATTGGTGAGCCCATGTTCAAGTTGTCTTGGGGCCTGATGTTACACGCCATTTCATAATGGTCAAAGGTCAATAGTATATATTCAAAATCAAGAAAAGTATTTGGTCTAAGTCAAAGTCAATAAGGACTTAAG